TCTCCTAAAAAAGAAGTATATCATTAATTTCAACTGCCTTTATATTACTGACATTGTTTGTTGATACTCTGTGTAATCTCAGTTATGACTAAACTCCGCCTATTAAATCATTGACCCCACCTACTGGGACTGCTGGGATTGATGGGGCTGCTTTCTGGGACCGCTGTGGGACTGCTCTGGACAGCTCTGGGACTGCTGTGGGACTGCTCTTGGACCGCTGTGGGACTGCTCTTGAAGCGCATTGGGACTGCTCTGGGACCGCTTTAGCCGTCCCAGAAAGCAGCCCCCCCCCCCCCCTCCGGGACCGGGACTGCTCTGGGACCGCTTTCTCTCAGGTTGGGTCTGGTTGGTACTGTATGAATAGACCTATGAATAAGTGAAAACTTATCCTTCTTCAGCCACAAAATTTAAAGAATATATATATATATTTTTGTTTCTTCAAATAACGAGAATTTGACCCTTCGTCAATATGTAACTTACAGTAAAAGTACATTTATAAAGAGTTCACAACGCTATTTAAGGTATTTTATCTCGTCCCCTTGCCCTTTCCCTTAATACATTTCATATTGTGCCATTCGCTAAAAAAAGGGAGGCAAATTTACCACCTAAAGATAAAGAGTGCCGGGTGACAAATGAACATTGAAAAAAAACGGGATTATTTCCGTGAGACATGTCGATGTATTAATTGTTAAAACAAAGAAAATACACATATACTAGAACATCTGTCTAGAGGTCAGACGGAAAACTTGAATATCTTTCTTTTTTAATCCTTTGTTGTAAAACCCACAGGAATCAATCTCTGCGATTCAGTTAACTGAAAGGTTCCTGAAAGCTTACTGAAAATTACTGAATGACAGAACTTTCAGTGACCATTCGACTGAATGGCAGACTTTCATCTTGTAATTCCCTGCATAGCAAAGTGTCCCCCAAACGTCACGTTAAATAGCAGAAAATCTCCATGGAGAATTCTGCAGTGTACAAGAAGAAAAGATTCCGTAAGACAAATGTTGACTTTATCGTATTTACATGTTCCATAAATAAAAGAAACGATTTCATTTTTTGCGCCATTTTTTCCATTTTTATAAAACATTGTATTGCGTATGTTCAACAGTCAACCCAAATCGGAATGTCTGTTGTGAAGTTTCAGATCTTTAACAACTCTTCGCTCACGTGAACAAGAATATGTACCTCTATTTACAAATAATTAAGGATTTACTTTATAGTTTGTTGGGTATGACTGGGCATAAAGGATAGTTGGAGTGGGATGCGCACGTTATGCATAAATTATCCCACGTTCTCAGATGCCGTTGATGTTACTGGCATACCAAACAAACTAAACAGTGATTCTTATATTTACATTTATATGTGAAAGAAATGAAATATAAATAAAAAAGGGAAAGAACATGTGTAAAAACATTGCTGTCTAATAGATTTAAGATAGACAAGTCATTCCATGTTAATTTTTATAGTCTTTGCCCACTGACGTCAGACACAAAGACAGACGGGAAAATTTGACATGCATATTGGCACTTAACCTTTTATTTGACGAAATTTACATTCAGCTGTTAATATCGAGAAACCAACATATTTAACTTTCAAAGTGTTATCACAGAGAAAAAAGTTGGAAATATAAATCAACAAATTTAAGATTTTCAACAAAGTGGATGAGAAGAAACATAAATCATTTTTGAATTGCGGAAATAAAAACCGTAAATATGATTTGAATAAAAAAACTTGGATTATTATTAACTGTGGATATGTTTTATCTTTATATAGAGAAATGCAGTCATCATTGTGTAAACAAGGAATGCAGTATGTATGGATACTGCATCCAAGGTTGTAATGAGGGACGGTGGGGTGAAAGATGTGAGAAAAAATGTTCATCGACTTGTCAATTGAGAGTCTGCAATAGAACTGATGGAGACTGCAGTTCGTGTAAGGATGGATACTATGGGTTCAGATGCGAAGATAAATGTTTTTGGAATTATAAGTGTTCTGGGAAAAAATGTAACAAAGACAATGGATACTGTTCAAATGGATGTCAACCAGGGTATTATGGAGAGTTCTACTGTGGATATAAATGTGGTAATTGCACCCCAGGTTCTTGTGACAGAGTAACTGGCAATTGTGGGAGTTGCATTATAGGCTATTACAGAACAATGTGCGATTTGAAATGTAGACAAAATTGTGTTAATCAGGAATGTAGACAAAAAGATGGACATTGTAGTAATGGTTGTAATAATGGATTTTATGGTTCATTCTGTATTATGTCATGCAGTAAAAACTGTGCACAAAACAACTGCAGTAGAGATGGTGGAGTTTGTATTGGTGGATGTAAACCAAACTGGACAGGGGATCAATGTAATAGTAAGCTTCTTGAATTTACACCTTCTATTTATATTAAGAGTTCGCAGATGAAGACCAGGCTTGAGTTTTACCAAACTTCTTAAGTTAAGATTTCATCGTAACCTTATCTTACGATTAATTTCTGTCTTACTAAACTTCTTATCTTAAGTTATGTTAAAAATCTTGTCGTAACTCTACGACAGCCTAGGGGCTACCCTAAGTTAAGATATTTTCTTAAGTCTAAATAAAAATGGCTGCCTTCATAATGTTTCGCGACATTTTGAGAGAAAATGAAGAGAAATCTCCTCGTCGTCATCGGATTTTTAGGGACAGGAGCGAAGTTCTTGAAACTCTGACAGACGTGGAACTCATTGAGCGCACGTCATTCTTTACTTGACAGAGGAAGTGAAAGACCTCATCAAGCCTAAAACTTGGAGATCCCACTCTATTCCTGCACATATTCAGGTAGCTTTATTCTCTGTAACCCGCTGGTAATATATATAAATGAACAGAAGAAATTCTAGATGAAGCTATGGCACCTAAACAAAGTTCCAAATGTTACAATGCTGAATGGCATGGTCAAAAAGCATAGAAACTTACTGTTACTATGTTGAATATCCTGAAGAAAATGATTTATAGAAAAATATCCTGACACAGACTTTTGTATACATAATCAGTATCCTTTGAATTTTCCAATATTGAAGAGTAAACAAATGGGCCACTACTGTACCATCATATATTTGGATTGTTTCCCTATTATAAGTGAAGAACAGACACAGTTACTCAAATTATTTCCCCTGCATTTATTATAAGCCAAAAATTACCAAATTAATTGCTGATTCAAAGTAAAAAAATTCAACTTTGAAATAAAAAATAAAATTCAACTTTGAAATAAGAAATAATCATATGATATATGAATTGTTAATTATTTAACTTAGAAAAGAAAATGATAAGAAGATTCATTTTGGGGGAGGGGATTATTTATTTTCATGCCTTCATTGGACAGAATTCATTGACACGAAGGACAGACTATATATTTATTTTCTTTGAAACTGCCAAACTGCAACTTTCTATTGTGTTTGTGTGTATGAGTGGGGGGGGGGGGGGCACCAGTTAAAATTGACGGCCTAAATTTGGAAAGGGGGGGTTCAGGTACACTTGGGGGGGGGGGGTCTGAACAATCTATTTTCTTGCTGGTGGAGGACAGATTATTTATTATCAAAATTTTAAAGGAAAGAAAATTTATTTCGAGCCCCCACCCCGAAATGGTCCTTCCCTTAGTACAGTTGCATTTCCAAAGCGAAATATATATTTGTTTTAATAATTATATACATGTACTTTTGTTTAGTTATCATAAGATTTCTGAAAAATCTGAAAAAAATGAAAAAACAAATAATCATTTGGAAAAATTACTAGACAAAAAATTATTTATGACATACAATTCCCTCCTCTAGATATGTTGCATGTTCAGCAGCTAACAAAAAGAAAATAATATAATTATAAGAATGGTGGGATCGGTTCATAAAAGAACTGTTATCAAATGACCATTCATAAACTTGTGCCAGTATTCTATTTTTTAAGTATATTCTGATATTGTATTGGTTTATGTGTGGGGGAATGGTGTGGAATAGGTTGGGGTGGTTTAAGAGGTTAAAGAAATAGTAACCTTATAAAATGTTATTTCATTTCAGGAGTTGACATGTCTTCGATTTTCGGCAAAAGGTGATTACCATTCAGAAATACAGATGATATTCATGGAATATCAAAGTCATTAGGATGTCTATAATTGTGCATCGTGTAATTGTTGCCATTTGCACCATGCTAAAGAACATCAAGTTTTCCACTGCTACAGAGGATTTAAAGAAAATCAAGATGGAGTTCTATAAAATTACTCGTTTCCCCAGTGTAGTCGGTAAGTAGTGTAGCTGAGGGGTGGACTGTATCAACTTTCATTGAAGTACTTCAACATAAGGTAGCAAGAGGCCTATGGAACACAATACTCACCTGAGTTACTGAGATCATGCTGTTCTTCATGATTCTTAAATTAATTTTTCCCCATCTTCCTTCCCACAAAAAATATTCTTATCTCCTATTCCGTTTCTATCCAATCCACAAAGACAATGATTTAAAATACATGTACATGTGTGCAAAATCTGCAGATAATTGCATATTTTATTATTTATCATTATAAACATTGCCCTGCTATTTTTCAAAAAAAGATTTCAAGAGACTTTTCTTATTCATGTATATTCCCATTTGATTTTCCATTATCGCCCACTCTATCCCCTGGGACCATGATTTATTCAATCCTAAATCCAGCTACATGTATGTCAGGAAGCTTTTATCATAGAAGTTTTATTTTTTCTGGCCTAGTGGCTCTTTGAATTTTTTTTTTTTTTTTTGGTCTTTTTGATTATCTCCCTTCTCAGAAGTGTGTGGCCCTTCATTTAAATTTGAATCTTCCTCCAAGACTGTTTTTTGCCCAGTTTGATTGAAATTGGTCCAGCAGCTTTGGAGAGGTAGTGGAAAATGTGAAAAGTTAACAGAGAGACGATGGATAGGTCGATCAGAAAAGCTCACTTAATGTTCATTTTAAAATTCACTACAGGTGCCATCGACGGGACACAGATTCCTATCCAAAGGATGTCTTCAGGATGATGAGCACCTATACATTTGTAGGAAAGGGTTTCACTCCATAATTGTGCAGTCTGTAGTAAAACCAGATTTATGGTGTAATTTATTTAATTTAAATTCATGTATAACATACATATTACATATAAAGTATTAAACAGTAACACCTGATGAGTTATTTTTGTACCAATAGTTATTTTGCCAAAATCACTTGAGGAATGTAAATAATTTTTTAACAAAGAACATACTTTTCACTCAAATTGACCTTACACGTATCTCACCAATTTAAAATTTGTACATTAAGATTTTCCTGTCTCATTGCAGATTTACAAATGCAGTATGCAAATTTCCTGGCTCAACTCGTGATGCCTATATCTTGAACAACAGTTCTTTGCCACAGTGCATGTCAAATCTGACTGATGGAGGATGGATATTGGGGGATTACCCCTTAAAGGAGTGGTTGATGACTCCAATCAACGACCCATTAATTGGCCAAGAAGAGCGGTATAATTTAGCACACTGCAGAACAAGAAATGTAACTGAAAGAGCTTCTGGCGTCCTGAAAGCCTGCTTCAGGTACATGCAGGCATTTGTTCTTCAAAGAAAACTTGTAATTAATTTATTCTTAACACCTGAAAAGAATATATCAGTTCTACTATAAATCATTAATAGGTGTCTACACAAGACTGGAGGTTGTCTCCCTTACAAGCCTTAAATAATTTAATTTCAAAATAGGGTGTTACATGTAGTAGGTTACAAATATTACAAATATTTTACATTTACCGGTAAATAAATTGTGTTCGAATGAATGTTATCCTAGTTAAAACTAACAAGAAAAAAAATCATTTTATACCATCAAATTTATTTGCTGTTGTCTTTCAAAATTCAATAACTGGCTTAGAGATGAAAGTTTAAATTCAATTTCAATAGGTACTTACACAAAACTGGAGGCAGTCTGCCCTACAAGCCAGACAAGATCATCGAATGTGCCATTCGTCTGCATACTTTGGCTATTGATCAGAGGCTGCCACTCATGGAGGCATTGGAGCCAGAGATTGGCAATGAGCAATACTGTGCACCACCGGTCAACAACAACATACCTGCCACAGCTATACGAGAAAGACTTATTCAAAGATTCTGAATGTAAGTAGTTTATAGTCAATGACTAACAATAATATAACAATGACAATTTAATAATAAGAAAAGATTACTTTTCCTCTATAGTCAAATGCAAAATATGTACATGTATACCCCCCTCTCCCTTACGGGACTCAAATCAGGATCTCTTCAGCTGCACTTCCTGAGGGTACTTGCATATTTTGTGATAAATCAAAGGAACTTAATAACAGGGGATAATGATAATGGTGGAGAACTTTTGGAACAGTCTGTAGAGGCAGCAGTTTTTTTTTTCCAAAGCTAAAGTTCTCCTAAGCTGTAGCTGGAGAATCTATTCCATAATGTCTAACTTCCTTTTCCTATAATCAGAAACTTTAGCCAACTTCTCCTTTTGAAATATTAGATACTGTTCCTGTGGACTAGTCTCTTCACTTCCTGCAAGTCAAAGCATTAAGTTTCATTATATTACAATAACACTTAATAATTACCTGTATATATCAGTGAAATGTAGCCATGCAAATGGAAGGGTTTCAGTAATTTTGAAACATGCAAATGTAAAGGACAATTAGGACATAAGAAAAAAATTTAAGGAATGTTTTTAAGTTTTATGTGTGTTATTGGTGTGTAAATCACAGAGACTTTTCAGGAAGGCATATTTAATGAAGCGCACTAGCTTTCCTTATATTTACATTTTTAATGCTTAAAAGCACCAAAAATATACTTGATGTTTGAATTTCTCGCTGCCTTATATCATTTCATTTTTATCAACGTCTCTAAAGCCTCATTGTGGGGTCACTTTAGCGCGAGTTTCTCCGTGCATATTTCTACGTGTGAGTATACACAGAAATGTCATTCAAATCAATTTCACAGTTGACATAGTGGAAAAACATAGCAAAAGTAAATATAAAGGATTGTATTTTGTCCATGACTAGAAATTCAGAGACATTCTATTCATATGAATCAAAAAATCAAAAATGTATTGGTATATAACATGTAAAATATGTAACACAAATATGAATCAATATGGTTCTGTCATTCTTCATCAGCAGATGACATACTCCTCTAAATAAGAGGCCCAAGTTCCTTGAATCGCTCTTCTGATAAACTGTACAACCTATCACTTCTATTTGAAGCCTCTAAATATTCTGTATATTTAGATAAAGACTTGAAATTCCAAAGGTAGGTCATCATGACCTACATTTTAGATGAAACACTCTGAGAACCCAAGATGATTCTAAGCCAATTAGTACTTGAGAGTAGGTCATGGTGACCTACTTATCACTTGTCATTCTCTGAGGAGCCAAGATGCATCAACTCATTTTGATGATTCTAAGCCAATCAGTACCTGAAATATTTAATTAAAGCCATAAATTTTCAAAAGTAGGTCACGGTGACCTACTTTTCAGTTGTCATACTCCGAGGACCCAAAATGCATCAACTGACAAAGTTTGATGATTTTAAACCAAATAGTACCCTTAATATTAAAATATAACCATAAAATTTGAAAAGTAGGTCATGGTGACCTACTTTTCAGTTGAATTTTTTTGAGGACCCAAGATGCATCAACTTACAAAGTTTTATTATCATATGCCTTAAATGTCCAAATTATGCCTCTAAAACTCTTTGAAATCGAATGCCTGCAAAGTTCAAAAAGTAGTTCACTGTGACCTACTTTTTACTAAATATGTTTTATGGCCCCAAGATGCATCATCTTACAATATTTAATGGTTCTAAACCTCTAAGTATTAATTAATGACCTTAATTGTTTTGAAAAAGATTATCCATAAAATTCAAAAAGTAGGTCAAGGTGACCTACTTTTTAGTTGACCTACTCTGAGGACCCAAGATACATCAACTGACAAAGTTTGATGATCATAGGCCTGAAATTGTTCAAAATATGCCTATATATCATTTTCAAAAAGAATGGCCGCAAAATTTAAAAAGTAGGTCACCGTAACCTACTTTTGAGTCAACATGATATGAGGTCCTTAGATGCATCAACTGACAAGATTTGATGCTCCTAGTCCTTATAGTAAGCAAAATATCAACATTTTAATAAAATGTAATTTTTGGTCAACTTTGAAGTAACCCTGAGACCACGCCCTTTGCCCCAGGGTGATCCCCCGTGCAAATTTTAACCTACAACATCCTTTCATGTTAGTTTGGTGATAATCTGCCCAGTGGTTCTTGAAAAGAAGATTTTTTAGCAACCAGTACTTTTGTTTCTATTTTCCTACTTATCTCCCCTTGTTTAAAGGTCACGACCCTAGTTTTAGTATGAACGGGAGCACTTGGGCCAAGGATACCCTGTGACAAGTTTGACAATAATTGGCCAAGGGGTTCTTGAGTTATGGCCCATATTCTAAAAAGTTTACGCACACCATACAAATGGCCATAGCATTAGCTCTTTGAACCTTTGGCTCAGAAGAGCTAAAAACTTTATCCCTGTTGTGACCCCATCCTACCCCCAGGTGTCATGATCTGAACGAACTTTAATATAAACTATTTGAGGATGCTACCATATTCATATGACAAATCATAGCATCTGTTCTTCAAAAGATTTTTAAAGTTTGTTTTTTTTTTTTTCTATTTATTCTTATGTAAAAATTTGATCCCCAAATATGACCCTACCCTACCCCCGTGGTTCATTATTTGAACAAATTTCACTTTACATTATGTATTGAAGGATTCACATAAGTTTCAACTTTTCTGACCCAATGGTTCTTGAAAAGAAGACTTTTAAAAAAAATATCACTAAATTTTCAGTAATTCTTGATTTTATCCCCTTGAAAGAAAGCATGGCCTTTGATTTGAACAAACTTGAATCTCCTTCACCCAAGAATCCTTTGTAATAATTTTTTTGAAATTGGCCCAGTGTTTCTTCAATCAAAAACCTTTAAATAGAAAAAGTACCTCTTTTCTGCCTCTTGGATTGCTGTTCTACTGGAAGATGACGCTTGCTGTTCACATTCGACTGAATTAATATACATGTACAATATTTGTAATTGACAATATATTAACTATTATATTTTAATAATTTCTTAAATTTATTTCAGTTCTCATATCTAATAAAAGGAATGCTGGCTTTGACTTTCAAGGAAGAGGAAATATGCAAATGATATATTTAACATCATTTAACAATATTATCATTTTTGTTTACTTTGTTCCTATTGAACTTTAATTTATACATGTAATCAATCTATCAAACTTGTATAATTTTCATTCTAAACTTACTTTCAACAGCCTGAGTTTTTTTCTATATTGGAACTACAGCTTGCATGGTCTTCTATAAAGAAATTAATCCCTTATTAATGAAAGAAATATCAGGATTGATATATGAACATTGTATATAAATGAAATATTTTGAAAAAAAGAACTAACAAATTCAAATGAAATTAAACAAATGAAAAATTCAAATAAAGTTGAAGACTTAGTGTCTGCACATACTTGAACAAAAAAAAATTTGTCATGTGTTATGTCTGTAGATAAGTAAGTAAGGTGGTCAATCACTTACCTTTTATGGAAGGTTCATCAGACACTACACAAGGTGTAATGGCAGACTGGCTCGGGGAGGATGATTCTGTTATATGGCAAATAACACCATATCATGATATTAGCATGAAAATGTGAAGTACCTACATGTATGTGCCTATAGTTTGTAATCAAAAGCATCATTATATTTTTTCAGTACATCAAAATATGCTAATTAATGTAATATAGTGTGATTGTATATGTACATACATTAGTACATTTTTTTTTAAAAAAGGTCTCAAATTCAATTCAAGGTACATTAAGTCAAAAATACAAACTTGCAAGTTAATATTCCAAAAATAGACTTGGAACTGATAGCATTAGGACATGCAAGTGACACAGGTTACCTAGGAATTAAACACCACTTTCTGCTGTGTCTACCCCACAGCTAATGCCTTCAATGGCCACCTCTGAAAGGGACTGCAACACCTTCAAATGATCAAAATATACAATCAACACATTCACTCAAAATCTGAAACTGCAGAGAGCAAGATATGTTTGTAATTCATGCATACATATATATATTATACATTTTTTTTTTTGCATGATCATGAGAGAAATATCAAGTATTTCAAGAAATTGCATCAGATCTTCCAAGATGATGAATATGATGAAAATATGAAGTTTTATTGCCCTGTCATGTGACACTCTAGAACCTATCAGATATGTTAAGATGAGGTTTAATAAATGTTTGCTACAATTAATCTTGAGCTTAAAATTTATAATACTGCTCTACATCACAACATATCTGACTTTGTCTCAAAAATTTTGAATGGAATATCTAAGTTTTATAATGTCTTAATCTTATATACAAGTCCGTTCATTTCTTTTGTGCGTGTGTTGGAGGAGAGGGGAGGGGTATATGATACACTGAAACTGGGTTGCCCATCCTGAAATAGCTCACCACATTCTCCCATGCTTTATAGTAAACATCAAGGGCTGGTCCACCTCCTGTCATTTTGATTGACCTCCTTCTTTCACTCTCTGTTTTCTTTGTCAATGATTGCATATCAACCCATTTCTTTTTGATTTCATCAATTGTCCGGTTCACCAATGTTATGGAATTTAATCTGATAAATATTTAATATAGATGATTCATGGAATATTTTTTTAAATAAACTGATAAATATAATATAAAATGGTTGGAATAAAACAACCTGACAGTTAAAAATCAATTGTGTGTGTTCACAATGATACAATACTTTAATTCCAATATTGTATACTTAAAACAAATCATGCATACAGAGATGTAATGATTAAGAGTGGATGGTTTCTAGAAAAGAAAGCCTCGTGAATATACTCCATTTCATGTCATTGGATAAAGCAAATATTAAATCACACAATATAGATATCCTCTATAGTATCTTATCATTAAAAAAATTTTCATCACAAAAAAAGAAAAAAAATATCTTAAATAACATGATAAATAACATACATGTATTAATTTTCATTTTTCGATTTCAGGGAAAGGTCTTTTTAAAAAGCTGAGTAAATGGTAGTGTCACTGTGTGAAGTTTAGAAATAGTTGCTGAATATTAATGCTATTAATATTCAGCAATGAATAGTTAATTTTATTTACAATCAAATTTACAATAAACGCATAATTAAAGTGTGAAATATTTTAAATCACTGGAAAAGATCAAAAATAGAACTGTTTTGACTGTAAATTACAGTCATTACAGTGTAATCATGATTTTTGCCAAAAGTTGGTGTTGTCATGTGAACCCAGTACGGTACGTTGTCTGAACAAGTTCATCACTTTCAATATAAACATATATAACACTACAAGTATTAGCTTTCTTAAAAAGCTTGTCTGACGTGAGCAAAAATTATTATACGAAGAATTAAATAAAGTTGTTTCCAACGTAATCAACACAACTATGAGTTCAGAAATAAATTATTTTGCCAAGAAACAATTTACATTCAGTGGCATCAACTTCTTAAAAAAAAACCCTCGGTTATGAATTTTTTCTGTATATACTGTATTACTTGTAATTTTCTCTTTTTTTCATGGCCGTAGGAACCGGGGAGAGGAGGAGGACCCCCCGCCCCCAATATATGTAACACTTGAAAGATCAAACATTGATTTTTAAATGTTACATTTTCCGGAAAAATTTTCTTTCCTATAGGTTCAATCTTTTTAAATTCCGAATACCTGAGATTTTCATGTTAATTCATAATTCAAAGGTTGTGTTGACTTTACCCTGTATGGGATGTTAGATGTTCGAGAAGCGGTAGCAGATTCGGAGCATCTAATTTTAATAAGACTGTAGCTTGCCGATACATTGTATATAATTATCTGCTATAGAAAGCATAGCTACTTTATGTCAAATGGATCATGTAAAAAATAACTTATTAATGATAACTATTGTTTGATAATGAATTTTTCCTTGATTAGTGCCCCAGGAAAATTTTGCTTGTGCACCCCACTTCTCGCAAAAGTTTATCCAACTGGCCTTTTCCTGGATACATAAATATAACTGGTATTTTGAAAGAAAAAGTTAAATTACATACGTCTGTAAAAATCTAAACATCATTTGGTGAAAAATTGGGATAATTATGATTTTTATAATTAAATGAGCTAACATCTTTGCATAATATCATCTACTACTAGTAGATCTACCATCTTTCACTTGGATATTTTGACTATGAATAAATCAAAAGTCTGCAATATCAGGAATACACGTAATTCTAAAGGTAGAGAGACTTTGTATGCATTGAAAATAAACTTCTATTAGTTAATCTAATAAGGATATTTGACAAGTGTTAACCTGACCAGCTTCATTCCTGCTGTTTTGCAGGAAATACGTGAATGATAGTGATGCATAAGAGAATGACCAAATGTTATGTAACGTGTAATGTATAATGTGATAATAATTAGGCCCAATGCTTCGGCTTGTTTGGGTGTTTAGCATGTTTTCATTAATCCCCATGCTCTCCATATCATAGTTAAGATAGAATGAAGTTTCCAAGATCAAGTTATCACACAAAATCTATTGAACGACTTGACAAACAAGCCTTGGCTAAATCTAGTACTGTCTGACGCCATGACGTCAGACAATTAAACATTCTGTAAATCTAATTGCTGGGTTTATTTCCATAATTTCTAAATCATTTGTTTGTTTGGTGCTGAACTCATATACACACACATGTAAGTAAAGGGGTCTTTTTTAACACACACAAGTATCATACAAAAATAGGCCTAGTTAAACGTCAGGATTGTATTCGTTTTTATACAATAAATATACTTACTGAATTGCAATCTCTGACCACATCTTTTGTTTTCGATCGACTGTAATGGAGGGGGATATTTTTGACTTTAATAATCTAGATCTGGGAGCAACAGCCTCTGCCAAAGCAAGAAGTTCCCTCTCTGTCCAATTAGGCTTCCTCCTTTTAACATCCATTTCGATTTAGCAGACGTCTATGACGCGGCTTACGTCAAAAATAGTTTTCCTGAAAGTGAAACTTACAACTGCGCTTGCGCGGCATTTGTTTTCAAGATAAATCCAGCGTTCAAGACAGGAAAGTTCCTTATTCGTAACTTACGAAATTTACCTAAGTTAGGTTTACGGAAAAGACTTACGAAGGCTTTGATAAAACAGAAGTTTCTTAACTTAACTTTGTACTTACGAAATTCTTAAGTTTCAAATTTTTGCGTAACTTAAGAAGTTTAGTAAAACTCAAGCCAGAAAGGCATTTTAATTATAACATATTTTTTCAAAGACATACTAACAGGCACACTACTTAGTAAAAATACCTACATAATTCGTTTCAAATAATAAAAACAATAATAAAGATAATAATGCATTTTCACTCTGTGTTTTGAATTGCATTTTGAATTGTGGAGTCTGTCCTAAGGTGCAAATCTCATCCCTTTTTGCACCACATCTCAAAATATATAAATACCTTGGACTTAAAACTAGTTTCGATCAGTAGATTGAGTTTTTTCCCCAAACTTCTTTCTTTTAAACGACCCTCGAGATCAACCAGTGTATTGACGCGGAGGCTAATTCAAAGTCTACGGGGATTTAACATTGCCAAAATAACCGCAACATCAGAAGGGGATCTATTATTATCAATGATTTTCCGTACATACTTACATACCCAGACAGAACACTATAAACACACATTAATCCACATTTTTATTAAATATATTTTGAATTTCAGTGCAAAACAAGATTTGCTTACTACATCATAGTACGTCACCAATGATTTTGACCTTGCCCTTCGAAAACTTTCTGTAATTGGCATTTGGTAAATTCAGGCCCTTTGATTTATTTTTAATCAGCCTATAAATATAACAGAATGCCAAATAATAAATACGACAATTAGAATCACACAAACTATAACGTGAGTGTAACATTTATACCTATATATATATATATATATATATATATATATATATATATATATATATATATATATATATATATATATATATATATATATATAAACTATTCGTTATCTTCATATTTTACTTATGTTTTTGTGTCTTCTCTTCTTTTTTAAAGCCAAATCCTTTAATGGTACGAATTTCAAATACTTTACACTGATTTCAGTAAAATATAATGATACTTTAAATGAGGCCAAGTGAGTTTGATTTTAATTAGAATGTGAACTTATAGACATTTTTAAAAGAAAATTTATGTTTACAAGAAATGTAAGTCAAAGCCCTAGTCTGATTTTCATATAATCTTTTTTTTAGATAATTTATGAATTTATAAAAACAATTTACGAAAAGAAAGTTTTTATTTTGAAACAAAAAATTAATTTAAGGATAAAGAATAGATACCCGACGTTTACATGTACATTAAATTAATTAGGCCATAAGTAGTTGCAGAAAAACAGAAACGAAAAAGAAAACATTTTCAACACAAAAAGCTGTAAATATTCTTCCTCCTTGTCAACACCTTTTTCGTGAAGAGTGCGTTATGCAGAACTTATGCTGCATTAGATTCGAGACAATTTGCTCTGAGTTTATGAAAAAACCGTTAAAAAGTCCCATTCGATAATTTTTCACTCATATAGAGACGTCACCCTATGCCGGTGAAGGGCTTCAAATTTAGACCTTTACTCAGTACTCAGGGCCATTGGGCAGTGAGGGTTCTTTATCGTACCAACGCTTACCGTGACATGGGACCTCGCTTTTTAAGGTCTCATCCGAAAGACCCGTGACTTTCACTTCTAGTGCCGGGCGCTTGGCGAAGGAAAAGTCACTACCTATGTTTACGTCTTAGGTTTGACGCAGTGCGGCGAACGAGAATCGAACCCGGGCCTCCCAATCACGAAGCGAGCGCCCTACCACTAGGCTACCGTGACCGGTCTGTTAAAATTGTCCGTTAAAAGTTATTTTAATATTAAACAATACATTCGTTATTAATAGAAACACATCGTTTAACATCCTTTTATATTGAAAAATATTTTTGAATTTTTACTTTGAATTTTCACTTTGGAAAAAAACGACTGCTCCTTCAAAATCTGGTTTCTTTCCCGTGACCAAGACGCTAATGGACTAGTTTGCCATGTTAAATCCCTGTAGATGTTGAATTTGCCGTCGTTTCAATACACTGTTTGAACTGGAAGGTTCGTTTAACAGAAGGAATTATTGGGAAAAAATCAATCTACCAATCGAATCTAGCTTGAAGGACAAAGTATTTATACACAGGTAAAATTGCAACGTATGTTCAACATATGTTTCGAGTAACATATGTTGAACACAGGTTGAACATATGTTGATCATATGAATTTTCGACAGTACGTTGAACATATGTTTGAAAAATATGTTGAACATATGTTTAAAATATTTGTTGAACATATAGAAGACTCAAAACATATGTTGAACATATGTTTGTGGTAACTATATGTTTAACGTATGCTGAACATATTTTAAACATATGGTTGTTTCAAACGTATGTTCAACATATGTTTTGAGTTTCACATAAAGTTCATACTAAACATTATATGATAACCAATAACCTTTTCACATTTATTCCATTTAATATCAAATTAATGTTATCGTTATTTGAATTAATAAATTTTATTTTAATTTAACGAGATAACGAGATACGTTATTTAATTTAATGTTAATCAATGAACCGGCAATAATTTATATTAAAAAAAAAACATGAGTTAAATGTTCTCTCTCTCTCTCTCTCTCTCTTACCCATCATAACCGACTTGTGAGGAATTGGACGCCTGGAATATGTTTTGGGGAAAGTGTTTTCCTAATATGTTTTTTATTTCAATAATGGGCAATTATTATAGAAAATACCTGTTTTGTAGCTTTTTCTCCTTTCTTATCTTAAAAATAACCTATCTGTCGTTTCAGTATGTATTCGAAAATTATGGGGAATGTTTTTTATCATTCATTTTTATGGGGAACGTCATCAGAACTCCTCTGGATTTACTATTAAATTAAAAGAATATCACTCTTAATTTTTACGTGTATTTTTCTCTACACCTTCCGCTAATTCATGGTTACAATTTAATATACACATAAAACATTTCGATTTATCGCCATTTAATAGCCTATAATATTGAATGTACACTGCATACATGTCAACCTCATTGAGTCATTCTCTCGACCTTCGATATGACGTCACAGCATATGCACATCGTTACGTCCAACATCGAGCCCGATTCAACGTATTGATAATTGATTTTGTTCTTTGATATTTATATTTTTAAACGTTATCATGGTTATCCATTAAAAACATGTTTGCACCTAGATATTATTTTAGTTACGCAATGTTGCTTTAAGTTTTTTTGAAGAACGTAATTCCCTTAATGACTAATAAGACTGAAATATTACCCGAAAAAAAATCTGTGATTTCAATTTTGTACGATGTAATTATGCTTTAATCAATTTTTTTCCCATCGCAATTATAAAATGCAAAAATATTGATTTTTTTCTCTTTAATAATTACATTGAAATAGCAAATTAAAATTTTACAGTGAAAAAAAAAATACAGTTTATATTGCATCAACTATAACTCCCGATTGGCTTTAGGTGCCCCATTTTGACTTACCGGTAATTGTTTTTAAACTAGGTTTTATTAAATTTAGAGGGCACAAGCATATAGTATCTATGTTTACTATAGTAATCTATATATCAATATATCGGCAAAATTATTGTGCCCCCCCCCCCTTTCCGGTTCCTACGACCATGAAATGACATGCTTGTTTTCAGTCCACGCGTGGGATTTTCACTTTTCATAAAACATGTTGATTGGCTATCAGAGAGTTAAAATGCTCGTGCATTAACGAAACAGGCTTCGAATCAAGTACAATTTATTAACCCAAACCAAAATATTGGTACAAGGGGTATATTAACACCATGTTTATCTTTTATGCATACTGGACATAAATTCCCAAATTACACAATTCTTTAATATTCTGTGTACTAAGTAATTGTACTAAGTTGAAGACGCTTGGTCTTCGGGAGTAGAAGCTTTCTTATGGAATTTTGTCTTAATGTACTATAATGTGGACATTTTAAAACAAATTCTATGTCCCCTTATTCACAAAGATGGTATATTCTATCATTTCTCGAAATTCTGTTATATCTTCCTTGTTCAATCATTAACTTATGTGCAGAGAGTCTTAATCTTGTTATTAGTACTCTATATTTTAAATGTATCAGTTTACATAAATAAGATGGGGGGGGGGGGTAAAATTATCAACAAGGTGTTGGTAAATGAGACATTTTGGCGATTTACATAAAGGACGAGGGCGCTATTGATTGGCATTCGGCAGGAATCTGTGCGCACTTGAAAAGCGAAAATTTCATTGATCTGTCACATGAAATTTTAGCCTTCTTTTGATATATCGGGTTCCTGTGAAATAGGAAAGAGAAATATTTTTTTTCCGATATTGTATTTTGATTTGCTATAAAAGAACTTGAAAATTGGCTAGATTAGTAATTTGGAACAAAATGTTACATTTTAAAACACGTTTTTCTAAAAATTTACTATCTCTTGGTCATCTCTCCATGATTTTGAAACGTTATTTGTGTGCATTTTAACATTTTAATTCAAAGAAACTAACAAACATTTGTATTAAAAAAAAAAATGGAGATAAGACCCAGAGACGATAAAAAAAATTAAAAAAAAATTCGAGAAAAATTCTAATATGTAAATGCGGTGCTTCATTGTCGTTTTAAATACCAAATAATATGTGTAACGCTGATACATAATGTAGCTCAGTAGTATGCATTATCCGTCCAGTGCAATGAAAAAGAAATATTTTTGGTTCGATCCTCGCTTGGAGCGTTAATATTTTTTTTGGTACAAACAATCAATTCTTTAGTCAGTTTAATTTTATGTAATGATTTATTTTAAAATAAATTCTGGTTCTGTTGTACCGAAAGCGAAAGACCTACTGATACTTTAACATACACATGTACTTG